TCCATTTGTTGATATAGAGTACCTATCCTTCGATTTCTTCACGATTTATGCTTCTTGGGATGCATCTTTGCACAAATCGGTACCATTGTCTACATTTACATCTGTAATTGTGCCAACATTTCTATGAAAGGCTTGAAGTAGGAGCTGAGTGCGGTCATTTCCTAAGGCAATTCCTTGCCTTCTTGCTTCTGGTCTGTTGTTTATTAAGAAACGGGCTGYATGGTGGTAGGTTTTCTAGCTCAGAAGTATTAGGGCAAGGATTAACGGGATTGCTGTGGGCTGAGTGCGACATCATAAATGAAKATCACATGTTTATAGATTAGGGTCTACATTTAGCCTTGTMAGTAGCAGGAAATCATCAAACTTTTGTCCATTCATTCCAACGAAAATTGCTGAGTGGATTACCAATAATGTGGGCGAGATTGAAAGCGTCACTGTGACRTTCAGTCTCCCTCGCTGACAATGCATTGTTGTACAACAAGAGGACCTTTCCTAAACGACATTCGAATCGACATTTTTTCTTGACCATGCAACTACTTAAGGCTGATTTACACGGTACGATTTGTCGCGCACGACTTGTAGTATACGATTTTCCTACTACAAGTCGTAGGATTTTAAGCAGTGCTTCAAAAACCTACTACAAGTCGTAGGTTGCGTACGAATGTTGTAGACAAGTCGTAGGGGCATTTACACTGCGCGATTCAAGTCGTATACTACAAATCGCACGAGACAATCGTGCCGTGTAAATCAGGCTTTATACAACTTTTCAGTAAAATCAGACGTTTGGATTGGTTGGCTTTCGTGTGTTATCAAAGTATAGATACACGGATTACGTCAAAACTAATTGTTTGTTGTATAAAACAAATAGATCTCATTTTTCCGTGTGTGTGTGTGCTTTAATAGGTACACAGATGACGTCAAAATGTACTGAGAACAACAGTCACGCACTCGACTGCGTCTCGTGCGTACTTTTTTGTTCTCACTACATTTTGACGTCATCTGTGTATCTATTAGCGTACACACGCACGGAAAAATGAGATCTATTTGTTAATTTTACCATAACTTGTAGAATTCTCGCGCGCTGATTGGTCGAGAGCCGTTGTCGATCGTAGGACAGACCGATGAAATGACGAATCGCTCGCGCACGGAGCCGTCGCGCGCCAGAAACAATTTTGTTTTAATAATAATAATAATCTAAGCTTATAAAGCGCTTATAAAACTTTTTCTAAGCGCAAATAAAAAGGTAAAAATTAAGATATTAAGAAAGTTAAAATAGAGTTACAGATCATAAGTTTGTTTAAAAAGGAAGGTTTTGAGAGCAGTTTTAAAATTGTCAAGTGAAGAAATGTCTCTGATTGAAGATGGCAGTGAATTCCATAGAAAAGGTCCAGCAACACTAAAAGAACGATAACCATAACTTTTAAGATTGTAAGACTTGGAAGACAGTAACAGTTGAGACGACGAACGAAGACAACGAGAAGGACGATAGTTTTTAAGCATATCTTGAACATAAATAGGAGCCAGGCCATGAAGAGCTTTAAAAGTCAGAAGGAGAATTTTAAACTTGATACGTGTGGAGACAGGAAGCCAGTGAAGATTGATAAGCAGAGGTGTAATGTGGTCATGTTTTTTAGAAAGCATGACAAGACGAGCACAGGCATTTTGGACAGCTTGTAGACGATCAATCAGATATTTAGGGAGGCCATATAGTATAGAGAGTTGCAATTGTCAAGTTTAGATGATATGAACGAGTGAACAAGGATTTCCGTAGATTTAACAGACAGGAATTTTCTGATTCTTGAAATGTTTTCGAAGATGATAAAAAGAGGATTTGCAGGTCATTTTGATGTGATYAGCCAAGGACATAGAAGAGTCAAGAGTTTTGAAAGTTTTACTTTGTTTTCGGCTTTGTTATGGTAAAAAACAAATTAATTAGTATTTGTTAAGAAAGAACAAAAGAAAAAACAATAAATGGGGGCCCGTAGAGTCTASYAGCAACTATTCCGTCCTTATCTAAAACCTTCGGAGTCAAATGAAAATTGTGTTCAGATGTAAGAGACAACAAGAATTCATATTAGGTAATAGCCGTTTCTAATGCGGTGGTACAGTAGTACGAACCAATTTGTGCAAATATACATCACAAGCTGTGCATAAATCGTAAAGAAATGGAAGGATAGGTACTCTATATCAACAAATGGATAAAACAAATTGAAATTTCTTTATCCATAATTGATTGTCATTATTATGCACATGTTTGTTTGTTTCTTGCTATAGAATGTTCATTTCGAATGGATGATTATATAGAGGCGCAATTGATTGTGCTGCTATATGGAAATGTTGTTATTGAATGTCTCTTGTGCATYATTGATTGTCAATCGATGTAATTGATTGTATCTTGGTGCTGATAATTATCCAGTTCGCGAGATTGAATGTACGTTCGATCGTTGTCTTTGATTGTTCAAAGATACAATTGTTTATCTGTTAATGCTATTGAATGTCACTGCATATGTAAATCACGTAATTGAATGTTTCTTGGCATATACTATTGAAACATAAGATAATGCTAATGAATGTCTTCTCGCTCTGTTGTTTTTACTGCTGATGTAAAWTAATGTATATTTTTCGTAAATGAACAGCAAAAGGTGTAGAATTTGAGACGTATTTAAAAGTATATAACTCTCTATCACGGTTCTGGCTAAAGTGGGTGTCATTCTAAATTTTTTTGATAAAAAAGGCGTTTCTCAAAATAATAGACCTTTCCCAAATTCGCCTGGATCGTGAACACGAAACAATGGTTTCAGTTCGAGGCTGTACTTGATAGACAAAATAATCAAGTTCAGTCTCGACTTGAAACCATTCTTCTGTGATCATCCAAGCGAATTCGGGAAAGGTCTATTGTGTGATTGATCTAATGTCTATGAAATTGTCTTTCGAAATTTTGCTTCAGGGGTGTCAAATTCAACACCTAAGGKGTGAAAATACGCAGGAAACCCAAGGGAATTTTTAGAGAAAAATCGCGATATCATGACTGCGGTAAAAAAGGCGATAAACTTGAAACTAAGCAGTTATATAACACTTAATTTAAGCATTAAAAATTAGCCAGCACGGAGAAAAATTATATCATTTGGAGAAATCGATGTTTCATCTTTGGAAGGCCATAGAAGACAAACCGTATARTGATGAACTCCGGGCTGGCTAATTCGTAAACTACAACATATATGTTAGCTCTGTGCCAATTGTCTTTTTAAAGGCTAAAATACAACAAAAGTTATTGAAGAACGCGTGGCTACTATTGTCGCGTGTTCCAGGTACTTTGACCTCTAAAATGATCAAGCTATGAAGCCGTTATCAGTCGTATTTCACAAAAAAAGCATAATATTTTCCCGCGAATTCATGCCTGGATACGAAGTTCTGGGTCGTTTTTGTAATGAAAATTATATATTTTRATGATTTAAAACGTTCCTTAGTTATTATGTCTAACGAAAAGAACCTGATTAACGCTAAAAAGAAGTTGAGTATTTTTATTTTATTTTTTTGAACGCTTTGCCAGAACTAGTACCTTAACAGGACTTTTCTAAACATTGAATCTTACAGCGCGAATACTCAAACCTTGAACACTTCCAATCTCGTTTCAAGGGCTACTCTGGTCACTTTTTTTCAAAATGGCGGTCAGTGATAGCCCTGGCATCGGCCGGTCACGTGACAYCCACTCTCAGTGAGTGTTTAGTGTGTTTTCAACTTTTCAAAAAAAAATCTAAAAAGCTAATGTTCACACGTTTTAAATGCATTCAGGAAGATTCCC